CCTTCAAATGCCTAGTGTGAGTGGTCCAGGGGACTCCCAAAATAACACGTTATTGTCAAACCTCTTGATTTTCTGTAGTTGAAAAGATCCTATTGCTGAAGACAGGACATGATTCAGATACAGGACTTAGAGCAATGGAGCAGGAACTGAACTGGAGGCCTTCTTTTCAAAGTTTAGCTTTCATAATGCTAGATGATAATATGCAAACTGTCAAGGGAGAGAAAGAATCAATGGTCCAACTGAGCTCTAAAACCTGATAACCATAATGACCAGCATGGCAAACTACCTCTATCAGTGCTGTAGTGGCACTGTTATCTGGGGGGTGGGGGGAGGAATCTCATCAGCCACCTAATTGGACTTAAAGCCCTCTCAATGGGAGTGAACTCATAGATGGCATTGTAAGCACAGCCAAATACACATGGCTGGAGAGGTCATAGATCATAGAGAAAACCCTATCTCTGTCATATCTCTAGACAAATGAAATTTCCAACCATATACTATATATGGATCCTTATATTTACAGACAAGTATATCGTACACCACTCATTGAAGGAGCTTCTTTTTGCAACAAATGTAGGCTACTGCAGATTCCCACAACTGGTTAGATACAGAGAATATACATCTGAGAGATGTACTGGCAAAAAAACAGACACATAGATCAATGGAACTTCATTGAATATCCAAAACTCAGTACAGTTTCAGCCATTTGATATTTGACAAAGGTGCCAAGAACACACAATGGAGGAAAGATAGCATGTTCAGCAAATGGTTCTGGCAAAACTGAAGAAGGACGAAACTAGAAGAAGAATGAAACTAGACCCTTATCTTTCACCCTGTACAAAAGTCAACTCCAAATGGACCAAAGGCCTCAATGTAAAACCCGAAACTCTGAAACTGTTAGAGGAAAACATGGGCAGTACCCTCCAAGGTATAAGAGGACTTTCTAAATTGAACATCAGCTGCTCAGGCATTAAGGTCAACAATCAATAAGTACAAAGCTTCTGTACAGGAAAAAAACCAACCAAGGACGTGA